GCATGACGATACATACACATATCACCCCCTCCAGGGCATACCCAAAACCAGCCATACTTGTTGTTTTCAATAGCTTCAAGGAAATGCTTGCACACCTACAGAGATGTTATGCACAAGCAGTGGCTCAGTGTACTGTGTTTTCAAGGAGAATGTTTAAGTTATGGAACAAGTGCATTCTAGTCACACCCTTAAGCTAACCATTTATATAAAGAAACCTTTTATGTACAGAAATGCACATTTAAATTATCTTAAAATCCTTGATGGCAAATTCCCTTTAGAAAGAACGTTTTCCACATTTCAGACCCCATTCTAAATTCTGAATTTTACAAACATAACTTGTTTTAGTTTAGCCTTAGTAAATGTAGCCCCAGTCTGATTTTTATAAATAAAATATAAAGAGCCTTAAAAAACAATCAACTTAGTTTTGGTTATTTTAAAAAATTAATAAAAGTACATGTAATAATGCACATACAATTTGAATTTCTTGAAACTAGTCTATTTTCCTCATCTAAGTTGTAAGGGAGCAGGTACAAAACAAATACCAGGTATACAAGGCTTTCAAACATTAATGGGTATCAGAAGCAATTACATTAGAGTACCAAGTATAAACTTCATAAATAGAAGGAAAATTAATAATTAAAGCTTGTTTTCACTGTAACAGCTATAAATACATGGCACCCATTTTTTAAAGTACGTATTCTGGAATACTGGAACCACTGTATACCAAATAATTCACTTTGAAATTCAAAATGACCCTATTTTACCTTTGTGTTTTAAACTGTCTTCCATACTCCTAAAACAGATAAAGTGTAGAGTCGGATAGGTCTCCTTCTATGAATTCACTTTGCACACATGCCCAAAAATGTCTTATCTGAATATTGATTGTATTTATCAGTATTTGACAAAGTAAGATCATGTGAAAAAAAAAAAAAAAAGATCATGTGAAGGAGCCCCGGTGGTGTAATGGATTCTGAGCTGGGCTGCAAACTGTATAGTTAGCAGTTTGAACCCAGGTGAAGCATTCCGCTTGGGTAAATATTTACAACCTTGGAAACCCCTAGGGCAGTTCTACTCTGTGCTATTGGGTCGCTAGGAGTTGCAATTGACTCAATAGCTATTGAGTTTTGTGGAAAATCCTTGGGAAAAAGAGCACTTATAAAAAGCTCTATATTGTTTTCCAAGGCTATATTTCACTATAACTTACATTGTACATCTTCTAAAGATAAATTTCAGTGCATCTCATCTGCTTTCCAATAATTTAAACAATAACACAGTAGAAAACACCAGCAAATACCTTGCTACACAATTCTCCCTAATGATAAATACCACAGCAACTCAATTCAAGAAAAGGACATACTATTTGAGTTTTGGGTTTTTTCTTTTCCGCCTCACCGTGCTTCTTGTTCACTACTTCTTCCAGTTTTTTCTCATCCCAATTATCCATGGTATC